GAGACGGAGTCTTGCTGTGTCGCCCAGGCTGGAGTGCAGTGGCGCGATCTTGGCTCACTGCAAGTTCCGCCTCCCGGGTTCACGCCATTCTCCTGCCTTAGCCTCCCGAGTAGCTGGGACTACAGGCACCCGCCACCACGCCCGGCTAATTTTTTGTATTTTTTTAATTAGAGACGGAGTTTCACCGTGTCAGCCAGGATGGTCTCAATCTCCTGACCTCGTGATCTGCCCACCTCGGCCTCCCAAAGTGCTGGGATTACAGGCGTGAGCCACCGCGCTCAGCCCCAATTTTTTAATTTTTAGTAGAGATCAGGTCTTGCTATGTTACCCAGGCTGACAACTTTTTCGAATTGGAAAATTTTTTTAATTAAAAAATTATATCTGAGAAGGGACTTGCATCTAGAATATATAAGGAGCTCTCATCACTCAATAACAAAAAGACAGTTAAGCCAAATGGAAAATAGAGGAAAGACCCGACTAGACAATTCTCTAAAAATACACAGTGGTCAATAAGCACATGAAAAGATGCTCAGTATCATCTTCTCTCATTAGGGAAATGCACATCAAAGCCACAGTGAGATACCACCGCACATCTACTAGCATGGCTAGAATTCAAAAGATGGGTAATAACAAGTGTTCACAAGGATATGGGGAAATTGAATCCTTTTTACACTGCTGGTGGGAATGTGAAATGGTGCAGCCACTTTGGAAACAGTCTGGTAATTCCTCAAGAGGATAACCACAAAATTACCATATGACCCAAAAATTCTATTCCTAGGTGAGCTGTTTTTACTCATGCTTTTAATAACAAACATGGGTGCCTCTTTCAACCCCACTTCTCCAACTCTCCAACACTAGGTGGGTGTCCTACAATTCAATTAAAGTCTGCCACTACCTTCTGCAGTGTAGGAAGGTAAGGCTGAAAGTGCTAACCCGCTAATCCTGCCTTGGTCTTTCTAGAGACCAGCTCCCATCCTGAAGCTATCTAGGGCCCCCAGCCACCAGTTCTCTCATTAGCATACTAGACACTCTTAGGACTACAGAGGTCCCAAGGGTTTGGGAGCTCCATGTCAGGAGAACAAAAAACCCTCCTATCACCCCTTTCAAAATTGATGGAGGTCATGGTCCCACAGCTCTGTGAACATAAAACTGAAATCTACTACCTTGTACATGTTTGTGAATGAATTGTATGGCATATGAACTATAACCCAATAAAGCTGGCACAAAAGGGGCAGTATGTATGCCCACTCAACAGAGTTTCTGTAAAGTTTAGGAGAAATAAAGTACACAAAAGCCATCTGTAAGTAGCTCAACACTGCACTGTTAGGATCAGCCAATCGCGCAGGGACAGCTCCCTCTGGCCCCACACCAACCTTCTGGTCTAAAATCACAGCTCAACCTCCAGCCTAGGGACAAAGCAGGGCACGGATGCCTGCTGCCAGGTGTGAGCCAGCACAGCTGCTGGCTCGAAGGAGCCTTGATCTGCAGAGGCCCAGATTCCCACAGCCCAGGGTTGCCAGGTCACCTCCTGCAACAAATCCCAGGGGTTCCACTGGTCCCTGGGGGAGGAACATGCCAGGTCTCCACTGAGGATGGCCACTTAAGTGGACACCTTCAATCCAGCAAAACACACAGCTCATCCAACACCTGGCCCTACTACCCTCCCCAAACTCCTCCAAGTTATGTGGCCCAAGGCCCTGGCTGCCCAGTCGGCCTCGCAAGCGGAACACTATGGGCACAAAATATTCCGTCATCCTACCTTCCAGTAATGCAGGCTCCAGAAGGTAGGACATCAGCCCTGGGGCCAACCACCTGGATGGGAGCGCAGCACCCTCTCCGGGGCCCCACACATCCCCGGCCAGCCACCAGCCTCCTGGAGGATGCCTGCCTCCCAAACTCACAGAGCCGGAGAGCCCTGGCAAGCAGCTTCATCCTGCGGCAAGTGGGCAAACTGTTTACCCAGTGCCAAGCATGATGCCTGGCAGAGCCCAAGCCTGTATCTGCCTGGCCGGCTTAGCAGTGAGCCAGTCTGATCCCTCCCTGATGGAAAGCACTAGGCTCCGGCTCCTCCTAGGACCGCCCCTCCCCCAGCAAGCCGCCTGCTCAGCTTCCGGAACTGGATCACAAAAGACCAGTGATGCCAAGGAATCCGTGACTCACAAACAGAGAGACAGGAGAGGGCCACCACCCCTCTGCAGGAGAGGATGAACTGGGTGGGGTCGCAAGCAACACTCATAAGGGTTCTCACCTCCAGGACCTTAAACCTTGCAACACTCAGGCTGGCCCTCAGGCAGGTAGAAGAAAGAGTTCCACCTGGTCTTGGCTCACAGGCACCAGGAGGGCTAGAAGGCTGTGGGGAAGCCGAGGAAGGCCAACACACCGCACAACACAGCAGGTGCCTGGCCCTCCTCTGACAGTGGCCCTCAAGCTCCAGGAGGGCTGAGGAAAATGCAGATTCCTGGGCCTACCCCTCCCTGACCTTCCCCACCCCTGGAGTTAGAGGCAGTAGCTCTGGAGTGGAGGCTCAGGAGCCTGGTTTTCCTTTTATTCTTCACTGCGGTAAACGTCAAATGCTTACAGGAGTAGAGGCAGGTGGGAGCAAACCCCCATGTCCCCATCAAGCAGCCCCAAAACGGTCAGCTCAGGGCACCTCTGGTCCCTGCTCCCACCTGTTCCCCATGCCAGGTTATTCTGCAGCAAATCCCGGACTTCCCAGCACAACATCATAAATATGTCAGCATTTCCTCTCAAAGATAAAAGCTCCTTGTAAAAAACCTAAAGGAGGGGCATGGTGACTCATGCCCATGCCCATAATTTCAGCACTTTGGGAGGCCAAGGTGGGAAGAGCACCTGAGCCCAGGAGTTCCAGACCCGCCTAGGCAACAAAGTGAGACCACGTCTCCGCAAAAAAACTTCTTTTACCATTAGCCAGGCACAGAGGCGTGCACTCATAGGCCCAGCTACTCGAGAGGCTGAGGTGGGAGAATCCCTTGAGCCCAGAAGGTTGGGGCTGTAGAGAACCATGATTGCACCACTGCACCACTTACGTTGCCTGGGCAACTAAGCGAGACCCTGCCTCAAATAAAAATAAAAACCACAAAACAAAGGTCCCATCTAAAATATCATCCAAATTCCTAATATCATTAAATAGTAAGTGACTTCAGTTCCTGTGCTAAATGAATTGAAATCTGCATTTGTGAACTTCATTCACAGAGAACCCAAGTCTTTGTTGACTGGTGAAGAGAAACTGCAGTGTGCAGGGAACAGGGTACTACAGGGCTACCGGGACACAGGAGTGAGGCCCAGCACTGAGCTCGATCCGGTTCCGTCTACGAAATTCTAGAAGAGGCACAGCAAGTGAGTGAAAGCAGATCCTTTTGCCAGGGGCCAACAGTAGGGGAATTTTGGGAGTTTGGAAATACTCGACATCACAACTGGGCCGGCCACTACTCAGTGCGCACACTCATCAAAACTCAGCAAAGTGTACGTTTCAAATATTCTTGTATATGCATTCTAAATATACCTCAATAAAGTCGGTTTAAAAAAGCAAACTACAAAACAATTACCCTACCTTAAAAAAAAAAAAAAAAGTAGTGATTCCTTAAAATCATTCATTATCAAGGGACTATTCAAGTTTCCCCATTATCTCCTCAAATCTGCATCTTGTTGACTCTCTGCTGAAGTTCTATTCACATGCAGAAAACCCCTATTTGTAACAGACTTCTCCAGTTACTCCCATGCAGGGGTCCAAGGATGGGGAGGCACAACATTGATCCCCGTCCACAGGAGGGCTCTGACAGTGAGAGGCCAAGGCGTGGGATGGAAGACAGCCTACGGGGTCACCCCCTGGTGCAGGCCCCACAGACCAGGTGGGTCACACAGGAGAAAGCCACTTCTGGTCTGACCAGAACTGGGGAGCCAGCCAGCTGCAGGTACCAATTCCAGGGCAATGCCAGGCTAACTGGCCCACTTACAGGGTGAGGCTGGATAGTGGGTAGACAAAGGCCTCCCCACGCGCAGGCTCTCTGGGCTACAAAGACTGCATCTTCAGGCCGGGCGCGGTGGCTCAAGCCTGTAATTCCAGCACTTTGGGAGGCCGAGACGGGCGGATCACGAGGTCAGGAGATCGAGACCATCCTGGCTAACA